TTACCAAAATGACAAAAATATTCACCAAAATTAGAGAATAAGATATCATTACAAAATGAACATATCTGAGAGAGTCCACATGTAGTACCTATATATGTAATACCAAAGCAATTGCGGTTTCAACAAGAAGTCGAAAATATCACTTTTTACTAAAAATGACAAAAATATTCACCAAAATTAGAAAATTGAAGATATCATCATGAAATGAACAAATCTGAGAGAGGTCTACCCAAGGTACATATACACCAAGTATCAAAGCATTCAGGCTTGTAGTTTTCAAGAAGAAGTCGAAAAAGTAAAACATTGACACGGACGACGACGGACAATCACTCATATGATAAGCTCCGCTCGACAAAGTCGACAGCGGAGCTAAAAAAAAAAAACAATTCACCCACACAGCCACTCTTGAGAGGAAGTTTACAGCAGCACCAACTCCATTCCAATTACTATTTATTAAGACGAAAAAGATAATTACAAAACACTAAACATTGAGAAAATAGTGTCACAAGAAATGGAGCAAGATTTGACTGAATAAAAAATAAAAAGTTGGCTTTCCAAGTTAGTGCAAATAAAACCCCTGTAACACAGCAATAAAAGGTAGCAAGATGGCAGAAATTCTCAAATTCAAAATTGCGGGCTGTGCATCTTCAAAGAGTCACAAAATACAATTGAAAAAATAACAAAGTTTGAAGTTTTACAGTCGTAATGTGTATTCAGTATTCAAAATAGAAACTCTGTATAAACACTTGTTTAAATTCAAACTCAACAGTAGTGCATATGGAATGAAGATGAAATGCACTTCTCAACAAAAACTCAAAAGTTGAAATTCCTTAAAATCCTATTTACACAAGCTTCAAACCCAAATTGAAAAATTGGCAAAATATTGGTCGACGATTGCATAAAATCTAAATCTCAGAATGTTATATACAATACATGAAACTTGCAAAATTCTTAATCGCATGCCATCAAGCAACAATGCTGCCAACAGTGTTAAAGCTAAAGTGGTTAAAAAAACTTTAAAGGGGCATGAATATAGAAAACCATGCTATCTTAACATCTGAAATTGCATTCAAATCTCACTCAAACGGGAGAAATTTAAACACGCAAAAATGAATAGAACCTAAACAGACTTTAATATTTCCCCAAAATGACAAATTACACAACGAAAATAATTAACAAAATAGCTTATACATATTGAATCTGTAGTTACTGTTGTACAATCCTAACAATTAAAAGATAATACACATCCATGTTCAAGTTCAACAGGGACGAAATTCAAACCCAACTATGAATAAACTAGCCCCGACACTGCTGTATCAGCAACATTTCTTTTTTTTAAATTATCTTTTAAACATGCCTGAAAGTGCAAAGCGAAACAAATGTCTCATGTTCTCAAAAAAATAAGGTCACCTGATTTTTCTAAAGCATTTACAAAAAAAGTTTCTGAAAAATTTCTCTCAAAAATTCTATCTTTAAAGGAAATAGTTGAAGGATGTAGAAATTCTCTTTTTAAACCCACTGTAAAATAATATATTACAAGTAGTTGAAGATAAAATAATAGTTTATAGTGAATATATTCACAAAATTGTCTACATAATTTGTTATTGCATTTACACAACTATAAAATTGATACAGCAGTGCAGAGAAGGAGGGGGGGATTAGACAACAAAACTTGTCAATACTATTCTAGTAGATAATCAAACACAAACATAAAATTTAAATACTTAGTATTGGTATCCTTGATAACCCTGACCATATTGTTGACCCTGGCCTTGACCCCAACCACTCTGGCTTCCTCCGCCACCAGTGCTGCCACCACCCCAGCTACTCTCCTGGTTTCCGCTCCATCCAGACTGCTGTGGCTGTTGACCACCTCCACTACCCCATCCACTAGGCTGAGTGCTATTACCACTCCAACTGCCACCTTGTTGGCTGCCACCTCCCCAGTTGTTGCTGCCGGATTCCCAGCTTCCCTGGCCGCTATTCCAGGTATTTTGTTGCGAGCCCCAACCTCCTTGGGATCCGCCACTGCCGGCATACTGGCCACCACCAGAATTCCAGGAGCTACCATTTCCTTCGGCATTCCAGGTGTTGCTTCCACCGCCGCCGCCACCACCACCCGAGTTCCAGGAGCCAACACCAGAACTCCATGGGTCTGGGCCTTCGCCACCTGGTCCAGGAACCTTAGGCCTAATGAACGGGGAAAAAATAAATACAACACGATTAGGCCTATATAGAACCAGTATGCTGCCCACACTGGAGTAAACATTTTTGCAACTTCAAATAGCCACATATAGATAAATGCACTATTCAACAATGCAGTGAAGCACAATGTTAATACAACTGAAATGTAATAAACTAGCCATGGATGGCACAGTCCCCATTAGTTATCCAATTTAGAATGTATAGCTTTGTTTATGATCATCAAACAAGTACTTGTCCATATCAAGAAATAATGCTCTGGGACCATGAATAATTAAAACAAAATGGCCACCAGTCAGAAGTTTTGAAGACATCTGAATATCTATCTACGACATGATGAACATAAAATTTGAAAATAATCCGCAGAATCATGTCAGATACAGCTCTCGTCATTAAAACAAAATGGCCATCAGTCTGCCACTTTGAATCTGATCTGAAAAAAACAAAATTACATGCATAAAAGACCAACAATGTCTCATGAATCAAGTTTGAAATGCCAGATTGATAATTTTTCAGTAGAAAAGTAGTTGCCAATCAGCCATTTTGAAAGCATCCGCGACACAAATTGATGTGCATCCAGGGCTTAAAAAACGCATGGAAATTGTATACTCGCAAGAGATTCAAATGACAACCCAAGCATTTTAAATACAACCAAGTTTATGTAAACTCACTTTTTTGGTGTAGCAATACTGACGCGCAGAGAACGTCCACCGAGACCCGACGCATTCTGCATCTCATTTAAGGCTCTTTGCTGTTCCTCTTCGCTTCCAAATCGGACGAAACCAAATCCACGGGACATCCCAGCATTATCCATTATAACTTAAGAATTGAAGAAAAAACAAAATTACTACACGTTTGCATTTAGAAATTCAACGAACATAGCAGCCTCAAGGGTCTTGACAAATTGGCACCCATTTAAAAATTGAATAAAACCCCTAAATGGGGGCTGCAAGGTGAAGAAAACTTTGCATCAAAAATAAAATAAAATGCACACAAAGTAACACAAGATTAAGATTGCGAGAAATGTATACTCAAATGTTAACATGTGCAGATTCAATTGCACAACCAAGACAACAAACCCTGAATTCAACTCTTCATTCTAGTTTTTGAATATTGGGCCCCAAATCTTTCATGTTCTTGGAAGTACTAATACATTACAAACGTTCATTATTACATGAGGGTTCATTTGTCCCCTAGTGGTACACTACCCTTTGTAAATGTCTTGGGGTAAACCAGATTGATTCTGCTTGTACAGAAATAATGAACAATGCAAATAGTGGAATGCTTACTATTGGAGCAAGACCCGACCCCCCCCCCCCACACCTTGTATTGAATTCTTGGTTGTGCAGAAGAGAAATACTACAAATAATTTATTCCTATGGCAAAGCACCAGAAATGTTAATAAAGGTACAGAGGACTACCGGAAGAATGACAAAACATGAAACTGGAAAGACTTGATGAAAAATAAATGCAATGTTATTTTGCCATTAAACAATCTCTTGTAAACTCTGGAAATGAAATCTGAAATGGATGCCAATTGTCTGGAGAGATTTATTTCGAGTTACTGAATTTCTATTGTAGTTGACTGAAATACAAGCCGAAGACAAGCCAGAATAAGGACATTGTAAGCTGGGCACAAAGGGAGTATTTGAATACAATGCAGACATGCAGTTAATTTTATGTTCTGTATTATCGTGCACTAAAATACAGGACATGCTCTAAGGTAGTTACAAAACTAGCTCAGAATCCTAAAAGAAACCCTTTGTGCATCACAATCTAAAATTTGAGGATGCTATGTGGGAAAACCAATAAATGTCTTTAAAATTTCCATCACAGCAAAATCCTGAAAAGAAATCTCAAAACGATGAAAGTCAAAATTACAACCACTCAATATTGCATGTAAAGTGAAATACAAGATCATCACTTTCGGTGAATAAATGCATGCAAGAAATTATAGATAGCAGAGTCATCTTTGGTTGTAAATCGATGGCAGCGATATCAACCGATGTCGTTTTGCTCCAGCGAGATCTGCATCTCCACTACCATTGCTCAGTCTTCTCTGCATCCGTTCAGGAGGTAAAACGAAAACCCTACGCTAAATTTGAAATGCATGAAACCTAGCAATAAACAGATAAAGCTACGTGATGCATATTGTTTCAAAGTAGACTGCTAAATTGATCACAGCGAGATTATTGAAAGTACAATAGATCAACAAATGAGTCATTTGTTTAAGTTCCAGCGGAATGGTAAACTATGCAATTTCAATAATCTCTCAAGAAGACATCTCATGCCGGGTTTGCAACGGACGTTGATGGGAAGTAATGCTGTATATAGTAACAATGGAAATCAAAGGACAATTTGCAAAAGTTCTGTTCAAAATTCAAGACTTAAAATGTGCAACAGTCAAAATTATCCCAAAAAGCTATGCATACCGAATAATGTTAGCTAGCAAAATGAAAGTTCTGTTCAAATTGAAAATTCACCAATAAAATGTCAAAGACATACAGAAAATTTCTGGAAAAGTATCTTGTCAGAAATAAATTTACATCGGAAAATTTCTGAAAATTATAAAAAAAAAAATAGATTTCTCTGAAAAAAATCTCTTGAAAAGAAAATTTTCTGTCTCTGATTGTTACCTCCATCAACCCACTGCTAGAGGGCCGAAATCTCTGGGAAGCCGCTCTCCCAGTAGTCGCATGATGGATGCATGTGACTGATCTGTGGAGAGAATGGCAAGGGATTCATTATGTATGGTATAAAAGCGATTATGTGTGCGAGTCAGTGATACGACTAAGCTACTTGTTAGCTAAATTGACAGATTTAGAAGTTTCCATGGAAAGAAGAAAAATTGCTGATGGGGAAAAAATAAACTCGAATAGACTAGTACACATGTAGTAAATAACTTACTGGCAGTTTTATTTTGCCCATTTTTAAAATAAAACTGGCTAAATATACAGTTAATTTAATATACCAATTGCTTTATAGTTCTGCTAAAATGAAATCTCCTTATTCAGCAATCAAGACTAAGCCAGTGATAGTTGTATAAACAAACGTTTAATATTACCGGTGTTGTATATTGGAACAGTGCATTACTAGTATGACAACTAGGCAATCATTACAATGGCAAAGCAAATGTTGAAAGCATGAAAAACTGGAAGTGTGATGAGCCAAGCAGAATCTAACAAAATTATACTTTCAATCAGTAAAATAAGTGAAACAAAAATACAGCCAGGGAAGGCAAACTGTTAGAGCAGAACAATTGAGGCTACAATTAACTCAAAGATGGGTGTTCTATTTATAGAGTTGCCTTCAATAAATGTTTCGAGACAATTTACACATTTACCTGCCACAATTATTCTTACAGAATATATACAATAGTTCTTACAAGAAAGTGGTGTATATGCATAATGCTAGCTAAAAACTGGCATTTGTTGGAAACTTCTAAAACTGTCAACATACCAGGGCAAGGGGCACTACATGTTACCGTACGTACGTCATGCACCATAAAGAGGTTAAGGTGAAAAACTTAATATAGTAAGAAATCTGAATTTTTGCAGGTGCATACACCCAGCTAACAATTCAATTGAGAATCGCTAAGTAATAACGCTTATCTGATTGATACCAACACTAGAATCTAATACAAAGTGGAAGCATTATTCATAGAAAATGGGGAAGGGGACAATCAATTGTTAAGTTACAAGTTAGTTTCCTATCAGATTTACACATCTTTCACTACTGTAGTAGTCCCATCATGTTTCTACAACCATCTATGCACATTCAGTTAATAAATGAATGAATGAATTTAGCCCACCACATTACACTACGGAATACAGGCAATTAGAATCTAAATGACAGACAGTCAATATGAAAGTCAAATAGCATTTAAAGTTCAATCTACAACAGCAGTTGATATATCTAACGTGCACTTTGAATATCTAATTTGTTTTGTTAGAAAGTACTACATCTGACAATAATTTTTTTAATCAATTCGAAATTTTCCCTATTCTGGTGTCTAGTTTAACAATCCTGCTGATTTCAAAAGCAAAAAGTTTTATTATAGACAAACTCCACAATATACACCAAACCTGAATTCCACACCAACCTACCTTTAGCCCCTTTAATAGAAGGGTAACGTCGACTGAAGAAATTATAGAGGGCATAGTCGTCAACTTCTGGGCTCAACTCCCCAACAAAAAGAGAAAACTCTTTTCGGTTAAAGCTTTGAAAATAAACAAAATTAAACAAGTCAATTCACCTGAAGAAAACAATTTAATTTTAGGTATAGTTTCTCAATTGTCCTGGGGTATATATACATGTACATCAATATACAAGTTATATTTGCTCTATTAGTAGCGTATGCACTTGTGCGGCATTTTAATACACGATACAAAAAATAATTTTTGATTACAATTTAATTGTAGCTGTGTATTATATTAGAGCAGATACAGTTTATATACTGTATATACAATGTTAAAGTGTACACAGCTCTAGAAGTAAGAATAACCTAAATTACAGCATGCTCAGGCAGAACCAGTTTTATATTTTTATTTTGTATTTGTATCTGTACTGAAATTATTGCTTATGTCACAGTAGCATTTTTTAAAGATCAGAATTGATTATGGAATATTTAGTGACCAGTTCAAATCGTGCAGACATAGTACTAAAATTGGACCAATGTGGTACATGCAACTTTATTTGGGAGTTGTGCAGAACTGTAAAATGTACAGGATTTGGCTCATATCCAAGGACAATAGGCTAAATACATACACATGATAGACAGTGATATATTCGGAACATTTTAATCGCCAGCATCCCTTGCTTTAATTTGTTATGAAGCAAAAATTACATCAAAATTAAACTGCTGTTTGTTTTATCTAGGCTTGTTCAATTGATTCAGTAAAGTGTGCACCACAATACCAGCAGCTGATTTGCTATGAAGACTAGCAACTAAGGATTGACTATCAATAGTGAAAATCAAATTTAACGCCCAAATACAGGGACCATAATCAAATCATAAATTGGCTGTTACTATAGTTTGAAACTAGTCAAAATCCAACAGGTAGAAAATAACGTATATTTTGTGAAGTTTATTTTTGGCTAGTATACTCTATAGTAAAAGCCAAGCCTAGCCAATTGATAAACAATCCAGGCCTCCAGAGCTTTGCAGGGGCTACCCTAAAACCCTCACTTTAGCAGTGGTTTAGATTTGTAGTTCATATGAATGTGGCACAAACGAAAAGACAAAATGTGATAGGCATAGAGATCTAGAAACCAGTTCACACTAACCGACACAGATAAACACTTGGGTACTGAGAAAGGGACAGACTTAAACTCAGGCACGCAGGCAGGAGAAAGGAAAAGAAAAGAAAGACAGACAACTAAAAGGTGGACTAATTACCAGACCCTAAAAGAATGGAACACGTTTTAATTAAATTTGGAATAAACTGGGAAACAAAAACAGAAAGTAAAATCCCGAACAGGTTGCTGTTCAGAGGTCTGAAAGGCTGCATTGTACCTTTTGGGATCAGCTGGTCCTCCTGTAGCCCCAGCAGCTCTACAGAAAAAAATAAAATTAAAACTAGCTAGCACTCCTTGCTTTAGAAGCTGTATGGTTTGCTCATTTTATAGGAAGCCCTCAATATGTAAAGCAATACAGGCCATATATCATACAGAACAGTTTTACAATATTCAGGCCGAAAGCAAGCTAAAAATTAACTAGCATTTCTATAGTTTTGATAACCAGTTCATAGCATTTTATGAAATCAAATCCCTGAATTAAACACAGGATTGTTAAATACACTAGTCGGAGACTAACAATGCAAGGGGTTTTGTTAAGTACGCAGCAACATTGAAAAAGCAGGCCAAAAATAGGTTGCAAGTCTTAAATAAACTAAGTAGCAGGCAAAACTAGCTAAATAAACAGCTTATTTAGATGACAGCCGCCACTTAACGAAACCCCTGGAATGCCCTAGACTGTCTTGTACAGGCTTGCAGATTGTCATTTAATGAAATCAAGATTCATTCTCTGGCCCATGGTACTAAAAATTTAAAAGGCTTTAGAGCTTGAAAACATGCATCTACTCCAAACAGCTTTCAATTTATGAATACAAACTAAAATATTCTTTGAATGACCATATACCAAGCAATTTACTCTAGTAGTATATGTACCTTACCCACAATGCAAAAATATAGCTCTTTTATCAGGCATTTTAAATTAAACCTGTCTTTTAAAAATAAAAGTATAGCTTATGCCCTGGTATGAAAATGTGCAAATAGAGAAATTTACACTGGTGTCAGCTTGGACTTGTACGTAAAAACTCAGGAAAAGCTGCAATGTAGCCAAGGTAGAAGTGGGCAGGCATTGTGCAAATAAAATGAGTCAACTTACTTCGGTGGAGCCTGCATACCATAGACTGCAAAGTTGAGTTTAAACATCCTGGGCTGCAAATTACAAAAAAAGCATTGATCAATAACAGTAATTTAAATTTAAAGCTGTTTGATACACAATATCATGTAGACAGATGAGCTAGCTATGGGGGCAATAGGGCATGAATGTAGAGCTTAATGTATTTGAGTAGTTACCTAGAGACAAACAATGATATACAATCCCACTAGTTACAAGGTGCAACCACCCACACATGGGCCAAAGCCTTCACAAAAGGCAGATTATCAAAAATTCAACAAATTTAAAGTAACAACTCACAGGTGTAGAATTCGGCACTGGCTTTCCATTACAAATTGACATAACTCGTTCTGCTGCTGCTGAATCTCTGAAGTCGACAAAACAATACCGTGCTTGACCACTGAGAATAGACAAAACAAAAAATTTTACATTTAAAAACATGTAGTTTTACAAACATGAAGCAAAATATTTTGACTACTGATCATATTATATCAAGTCCTGGAGCTGAATGAACAACTAGTAGACAAATTCAGAAAATTTTGCAATGACGTTGTTTAACATTATTTTGTATTAAGTTGTTGCAAAATGAAACTGATGCACAAAGCAATACATAGACTGCACATGTAATAACCTAACCCAGTGTTCTCCCATGATGTAAACAGCGTGGCGGTCCCGGCACAGTGCTTTGATTCGCCGCCACACCGGTCTGACACCGCCACGGTGATTAGCAAGACCGCCACAGTGCTTCTTTTCATTGGGGGATCTCGTCACGCTGGCCGGCCTGACCGGCACTCAAAATTAGCGACCACTGCGGAAACACTTCCGACGATTGTCATACTGCTATTATACTTGCGTACCGACCAACACGCATCCTGCCAGTAGTGGATAATAATTTTTAAACAATTGACATAGTCGCGTGATGTGGTAGCGGCTTTGAACAATACAAGTTAATTTTGTAAAATTAGCACCTCTTTGTAAGTAAATACTTTCTGACACAGTCTTTGGTTTGAAAGCTAAAATTCTTTCAAAATCAATTCCATCCGATACAACATGGGCAAATCGGAGTTCACGATCAGTTTACGCTACTCAAGAAAAAAACGTGTTTATTGTTATTGGGTAAAATACATTTGAACTGTTATCGTGAATTATGTAAAAACTCTTCTTTCAATAATTTTTTTACCTTTTAAAAATTTCTAATCACCTCTTCCGAAAACCATCATGCAGTTTTCATCTGAAATTCATACAAACACATCGTGCTACGACATCGCTTTATTCCGCAATGTAATTTTTATGATCACGATCATCCGGAAAACTTCGGGTTCTACCGGCATTACCATGCGGCATTTTGATAGGTAAATAGCGTTTTTGACCCACCGGGTCAAAGGACACATGCCGGTCAATTAATGCGTCATAACTATCATGGCGGGTCTGTGTTTTTCACCGAAGTGATCAAAAATAATTTCTCCTGATAAAACTAGCTCAAATTTTACGTTTTTTTCATATAAAAAAAAGAAGTATTTAATTTTTGCATGACATGATCGAGTAAGAGGAATTATTGGTATAACCGGTGTATAACATCGTGAAGTTAGTTATGTCACGTCGTAACTTTGATCGTTTGGAAGTGTTATTTGTTCGTTCATTTACTGTAAATGTAATGTTAGAAGCTGATGGTCGGAATAATAACCAACAATCCGCCAAATAACTACATGGTCGATTTTTTGAAGGAGAATTTTGTAGTAAATAAGATCATGAAAGTAGTGAACATAATCCTGGCTCAAACGTTTCATTTAACTTTTTACAATTTATTTGTTTCTTTTTAGTCTGCTGCATTTGCATTTTGAAAATGTTTCATTTTTAAATTCAAACTCTTCTAAATTGTGAAACTTAATATTTTGACTCCAAAAAAGAAATATTTTCCCTGTGATGGAGCTCATTAATATTACAAAAGTGCCCAAAATAAAAGTGTTTATAACACTGTGTGAAGCAAATAAATATCTGCCACTTTGTTTTTAAAAATACTGTAAAATTACTATTTTTCACTGGGTTTAAATTTCACTGATTTACCATTTCAGGCATATTCAGTGGGTTTTAAATTCACGGTTTCGTCATTTAGATAATGTGTTCTATGCTAAATTTTACATATTCACGGTGTTTTAATTTAGCGCATTTTTCCAGTCAGCGAAATAAGCTAAATTAAAACACAGTGAATAATTACCCCCTTTACAG